CGTCCTGTTTGTATAGCTGATAAAGCATCATGTTTCTTGTGTTTATAATTTTAAAATCATAAATGTGTTAGTCACTTTTGGAATATCCTAATCAGGAAAATGAGATTTTTTTTTTCTTCCCTCCCCCTCCCCCCATGGCTATGTCAGTACTTGCTTTCTGTGACATAGCTTTAGGCATTCTGGGGCCTATTGAGTGTAGAGCAAGCTTACAGTTGCTTTGTTGGAATTGTTCCGGCACATGAGTCAGTACTGGGATTCAAACTAAATTCCTTGTTGTCAAGCATTTACCCACTTAGCAATAAAATATTTGAGCCTTGATGGCAGCAAAGACCCCTTTTTTTAGTTTCCCGAGGGAGTGCTCCTAGCCAGAGATTGTTAGTATGAAAACCACATCCCAGAATGCTTTTAGTTAATTCCAGAAGCTGAGAGGAAAAAAAATCAGTTTGACAGCTAGTTCCATGACAGAATGGCTTATTGCTTCACCATGTTGCTCATTAGCTATAAGCTGTAGCCATCCCATATAATTGAATTTTAAAAACCTGCAACCTGTTCGTTCATACCTCTGCAGTAATCTCTTTCTTTTGTATAGTGCTTGAACTAATGCAACTGGAACAATATCACTAAATTGCACAGAGCTGTTCTGCGTCTGTGTTGCTGTTAGCTGCCTATTTAAAAACATTTTTAATTAGAAAGAGATTGGTTGCATATTTTCATACCAGTCTGGGAGAGTGTAGGGTAATGCAAAGAAAACTGGTTGCCCTGAAATCTGAATTATTTGAAAGTGATTTTTGGTAAAGCCCATCTATGTGGTGATAATGTTACACTGTTCCTCCTTCAGCTTAGCATAAATATCCATCATATAGTCCAAGAGTCCATTCTTCCCATGTAGGCATATGGCACATTAAGAGTTTTTTAGCTTGTAGAATTTACTACTTTTTTGTGTGTGCATGTGATTTAATGCCCCAGACCCTGCAGTAGAAACTAGGGATGTTATATAATGTTTATTTTAGTAATTGTGTAGCTACAAAAAATTTGTTCAGTTACATGTTTACTAAAATACTCTCCAGGAATGGGGATAGCAGCCTGTGAGCTCCCAGATCCTGGCCCCATCCCAGGGAGTTCCCTGCCACTCTATTCTCCCCATGGACAGAGGCTATTCTGTAGCAGCAGTCCCTGTCTGTGGGGGGTCTGAGCATTCACGAAGTGCATGTCAGTGGTAGCAGCTTACCTGTGTTGTCGAGGGGTCCAGGTATATATATCTCTGGAAGACTGGCTGGTCAAGGGCCATTCACAGTGCAAGGTCCAGTGAGACGTCACTCTCCTCCTCTCCATGTGTCATTGTCTTTGACTCCTGGCAAATGACAAAAATTATCGTTTGTTCCAGCACAGAGAATTAAATTAATCAGAGCGGTACCCAACTAGGAAACCCCGGACTTCCGACCACCCGAGTTACAAAAATGGTTTTAAGTGCAAGGGGTTGTAAGTGCAGAAGGGACCGAAAACCTCCAATTTACGTCCTCGGCCCCCATTTACGATGACGCACTGTGCTTATTGTAAATGCAGATTAGAGTTACAACCCCTCCCCCCCGACTTGTGATGCTTCCCCAGGAACTGATCGCGTCACACGTCAGGGGCTGCCTGTACAGCCACAGTATTCCTCCCTTGGGACAGATTCAAAGCATTGCAGGGCCTAGTTTGGTGATTCTCTCTCTTGCCCCTCTGACAATGACGAGGGCCTGTCTTCGCATCCTCAGCCACATGGCAGCATGTACATATGTAGTGCTTTTTGCGAGCCTCAAGATGTATCCACTCCAGCTTTGGGTGGTGTCAGTGTACTCCCCAGTGCAGCAGCCACTCAACCGTGTAGTTGTGGTACTGTCACACATCTCTACTGCTTACAGTGGTGCACAGAACTACATAATCTCTTTGCTAGCGTCCCCTTCAACTAGCCCCAGCAGTTGGTGCTGGAGTGGAGAGTTTGCCTCAGATTGCTTCAAACTCAAGGCCAGTGGCTCCAGAATGAGAGTCCTCCACGTAAACGTGAGGGAGTTCAGGGTGGTCAGAAACGCATGCAGAGTGTTTTTACCCCACCTTCATGGGCATAATAGTCCATGTTCTCACATAACATGCAAGGAGGAAACTACTCTGTGTCCCTCTGTGAGGAGCAATCTGACTGTGGGGCTTCTGTGTCCTCTACCACATCTCACTGAAAGCACTCCACCTTCCTAGAGTTCGCAACTTAATTGTGGACAGTCTGAGCAGTTTTCTCATCTCCCCACAACAGGTCTGCTCCAGAATGGTTCTAGAAGAGGGCTCTCTTTCTGATGCCTTTCTTTTCCCTTGGACATGCGGTCTCGTACGCATTCCATCTGTTCCAGTTAATTGGCATAATACTCCAGAAGATCAGGCAGGACTCAGCACAGGTGATAATAATCACACCAGCTTGGCTGCACCAACACTGGTTTGGCACCCTCGTGAGCTGCTTGCAGCAGGCCCCTCATCCACTGTTGCATCACCTGGCCCTTTTGTCCCAGGAATATGACCCTCTTCTTCACCTGGACCTTTGGCCACTCCACCTCATGGTGTGGCAGCTCAGTGGTTGAGCCAGCGGGAGATGGCATGCTTAGCAGAGGTGCAACTTGTCTTCCTTAGAGGTGCAACTTGAAAACAGCCTTCAGCCAGATCACCCTATGTGGTGAAGTGGAAGCCGTTTTTGGCCTGTGTGTCCCATAAAGGGGTCATCCCCACCAAAGCACCAGTATAGCTGATCTTTAACTATCTTTTATACTTGAAACAAGAAGGTCTCGCTCTTGCCACTGTCAAAGTGCATTTCGCTGCAGTTTCCTTCCATCCACCGATCCAAGGTACTCAGTTTTCTCACATCATCTTGTGAATTGCTTTTTGAAGGGCCTGGAAAGGTTATTCCTGCTAGTCCCAGCCCCTCTTCCTCAATGAGGGCAGAGGCCTGTGGGAATAACTTCGTCCTTGCTAGGTTTACTGGTCCTCCATTTGAGCCACTGACTTCCTGCTCCCTTGCACTGCTGTTGCTTAAGGTGGCTATTCTTGTTGCCATTACCTCAGCCTTTGTGTTCTACCTGGACAGAACAAAGCTCTGTCCTAAGTCCATCTAGCTGTTCGTAGCCTATGTGGATAGGATGAAAGGCCATCCTGTATCATTTCAGAGGATATCGAGAGATTACCACCTGCATCTGCACATGCTATGAGCTAGCAGGCATTCTGGCCCCAGACTTGTTCAAGGTTCAATTAACCAAAGCCTACATCTCGTCCTTCAAGTCTCTATCCAAGACATCTGTCACGCTGCAACATGATTCTCAGTGCACAACTTTGCAGCCCACTATGTGATTATGCATCATGCTAGGAACAATGGGTAAAGCTATGTTGCAATCTGCATGTTCGTGAGTTGCCTGCCCACCTCCACAGATACTGTTTGCAGTCACCTATGTTGAATGGACATGAGCAAGCACTTGAAGAAAAGCCACAGAAACATTACCCGTTTCTGTAACTAATGTTTTTCGGGATGTGTTGCTCCTGTCCATTCTACCTCCACTCCTCTGTTGGAGTTTCCCAGCAAAAACGGACGGAGGGGCCTGGAAACGCCCTTTATAGTGGGGTATGTGCACGCCACTGTAGGGTGCGCTGGTCTCAGTCCCCTTTAGGTATTGCCGAGGGGAAAATTACCTCAGTAATTGCAGAGGTCCCATTTTCCTTATGTCCTCTTATGACATCAGCTCTTTAGAGAGCACAATTGGCAATCTCTTCCAAAGGGAGAGTTTGCAGGTTGATGTCTGTGACACACCCACACTGTTAGCATATGTTGCCTGAAGTGCGTCTGAGCGTGCCGTATTATGCAGGACAGTGTAAGATGCATCTTTTGTTCAGGTTTTCTATGGCTATCAGGCTGTGAAATCCCTGTCTAATTCTCCCAGTCAGAGTGGGTGTGGGTGGGTGTGTGGTATTGTAGCATCAATATTATTTTAAGGCTCTCTGCTTGTAACATTCTCTCCTCTCATACTTCTGTACCTCAACACCTGTTCCATAAAAATACATTATGGTACTCTACCATTGACACTTTTTTTAGTGTGCAAAATTGTTTTTTCAAAAAAGAAACTTGGTTGTGGCAGGGAAGCATATTGATGTGGGATTCCAGGGGAATGAGAAAGTTTTGTTCCATTTTTAAGCAAGCAAAATTGAGAATAAAATAAACTGGTAGCTCATTCCACCTCCCTTACAATCATGAATTTTTACCTATGCAATTGCTTTCCTTTATAAGTAGGGTCAATTTCAGGGTCAGAGGATTTTCAAAATAACAGATTTCACAATTTCAGTTGCTTAAATTTGAAATTCCACAGTGTTGTAATTGTAGGGCTCCAGACCCAAAAAGGATGGTCTGTGTGTGTGGGGAGGGGGTATGAGATTGCAAGGCTATTGAAGAGGGTGTTGTGGTACTGTTGCCCTTACTTCTATGCTGCTGGTGGCACTGCTTTCAGAGCTGGGCAAATGAAGAGTGGTAACTATGGACCGAGAGCCTAACTCCAAAGCCAAATGCTCAACTCTGAAGGCAGTGCCCCCCAAGCAGCAGTGCAGTAGTAAAGAAGGCAGTACAATATCATGCCATCCTTACTTCTGCAATGCTACTTTCTGGCTGCCCAGCTCTGAAGGCAGTGCCGAAGTAAGGGGGTGGCTATGTCACAACATCCCACCTGCGACTCCCTTTTGGGTCAGGACTGCCAATTTCAGAAATGCTGGTCCCTGTGAAATTTGTATAGTATCGAATAAAGGCACACACAAGACCAGATGTCATGGTCCATAATAAGTTTTTCATGTCCATAAATTTGGTAGAGCCCTACTTATAAGGAGGATAAACTTTAAAAAATCATTTTGGAAGTGAGGGGTTGCGTATCTTTGGAAGGAAGTTTGTCTTTCTCTTCTACCTACTGTGATCTAGTGATGATATATTTTTCTTTTGTTTTTTTTTTCAGGTTTTTGTTTTTGCACTGAATGTAGCCAGGACGGATCCTTGTGGGCTTTAGCAGCCCTAGGAAACTGTCAAAGGTAAAATTATTCAAACAGTAACATTTACTTGGCATTTTAGGAGTCTAGAAGCAGAATTAACCTATACTAACCTTTAATTGACTGGCATAGCAATGCTCCTTGGGGTACGTCTAGACTACATGCCTCTGTCGCCAGAGGCATGTAGATTAGGCTACCAGACATAGTAAAATGAAGTGGCGATTTAAATCGCCGCTTCATTTAAATTTACATGGCTGCCGCGCTGAGCCGACAAACAGCTGATCAGGAGGTTTACCTGGGTGGTCGACAAATACCTTTGATGTCGCCACCCGCGCGTCCAGACTATCGCGCTGAGCCGACAAACAGCTGATCAGCTGTTTGTCGGCTGAGCACGCTGTTTGTCGGCTCAGCGCAGCAGCCATGTAAATTTAAATGAAGCGGCGATTATTTAAATCGCCGCTTCATTTTACTATGTCTGGTAGCCTAATCTACATGCCTCTGTCGCCAGAGGCATGTAGTCTAGACGTACCCTTGGTGGCGTAGAATCCTTCTTTCACTCTTATTTTGTGGGAGGAGTTGGGTATAAGATTTTGATGATTGCTTAACAATTTTAATGTTTGTTGAATAAAGATGTGTACTCTGGTGTTTTTTTGGCAGAGTTCAATTGTGGTAAGAGTATCAGCCTTTTAGAACAGTGAATACTTAATCCCATCTCATAATAAGAAAGTTAGATATTATGTAATTGAATAGTCGTGTAACTGCATCAAATGTTAGTGGTTACACGATTATTTGATAGATCCCGGGGGTGGGTCTGGCAGCCAGTGTGCTCCTGGCCCCACTTCCAGGGAGCCTGCAGCTATCCCACACTGCTGCTCTGTATTAGAACGTGGCACAGAGGCTTAGGGCTGGGGATTTTTACTCTTTCTCTCCTGTTCCCCATTGACTTACCTCTTTGCTGCCTAGTACAGGCATCTGAAATAACATGCGCCTTTGCTGCTGGGGTGTGGTGAGTTCACTGTTCTTGTGGCTTCCTTTTGCTCCTCTACCAGAAAGTCAAAGAAATCGGTGGGAAACATGAATTCTGCCTGTGGGCAGTGGTGCAGAATTTTTCCAGGGAACAACGTTCTCTCTTAATTTTATTATGTGCATCAAGATTAGTGCAGATGTGCACCACCAATAGAAATACATACTAGTGGCTATGAGTGCTCTGCTCATCAGTGAGGTGGCACCTGAATCTCTCCTGGGCAGCCACCCAAATGCTCAGCTTACAGAGAACACTGCCAGGGAGTAGTGTGTTTCCATGCACTTCTCCCATTTTTCTCAATAACCATCAGCTCCATCTTTAAAATGTGGAAATAGTTGTTTCCTTTTTTTATATATAAAAGAAAGTCTGAGTCTCTGACCTTCAGAACATTGTAACAATTTGTTACAATATAAAAAGTTAGTTCTTGATGCAGTTTATTTCCTTAATGTCGCCCCAGGAGCGGAGCTGAGTGGTGCTCCCTCACTGATCCCCTTGTAGTTTGGCCTGGACCCCATCTGTGTCCCCAGTGGTCCTCTATCCCTCTCCTCCAGGTGAACATGTCTCATACGTTGGGGACCTCTATCCTAAGGTAAGAATTTGCAGGTCCAGTAGGATCACTGTCAAGCTGACAGGGTTTTTTTTATTAGCCTAGTAACCAGGGGAAAGTTCTTCTATACTATATTTGTAAAGCTGGCTTTTTTGTATTTGTATTTAGATTATTAGAATCTTATTGAGCTCCAGTCTGTAATTATTCCTTGCTGCGCACACCTTTTTTATGAATGAGTGAATACAATGACTATGTAAATTCTCAGACATTTCCTTCTGACACTTTTAAATAAAAAACAAATACTGATGTGCGCCTGCTGGACACATTGTTCTTTTTAGAAAGAAAAATTGTCATCTTGCCCTGAATGACAGCTATTGACTGAGGCCTGGCCAATTGCATATAGTATATTATCTGGTTAAAGGCCAAGGCTTTCAGTATTATCGTGTTATATGACACTCCAAGAAAGAATGTTGAAGATGGCAAACCATTTTTTGGGTATTTTAAAATTTGTTTTCCTTCCCTTTATTTCTTCTAGGCACTATTTTGCATTTCTGCAGTTTTGCACAGATTCTGTTCCCATGCAAACCGATGAGGGAGAAATACTGGAGGAAGGCAGTCCCAAGGTCAGTGAGATAATGCAAATAACATTACTTGAGCAGGAGGTTTCTTGTTGAGACAGGGAATAGACATTGCAAACACTAACTTCTGAAATGATTGTATTTAAAAAGTAGAATTGAGCAAATCTAGTATTAATACTGCATTTATCCTATAAATACCTTACAGGAAATGTCCAAAGGGGAAAAAGAGGAAGTTCCTTTAAAAAAACAAAAAAAACCCCAAAACTTTTCAATAATACTAGCCTTTTTACTGAAACTGGAAGGCCCTAAAGATTAGTGTGAAGATTCCCTGGTTCCACTTTAACCCGATTAATGCATTAGACTATTGGGTGATCAGGTCCCAAAATCACCATATACGTATTGCAAGTGGATCCATGTGCCAGAATTCTGATTCTTAAAAATTTCCTATTCTTGACATCTCACATTTTTGTGTCTTTGGATTTATTCCACAAAAGTCACATCTTAGCACGATACCCTCTGTGGAAGTAACTAATTTCAGAAATGCACTGAGAACCTAACTTGTTGCTAGAGTAGTAATGCATGTAATTGACCCAGGTGAATACCTTTCTTAGAAGATTATTGCTAATTTAGAAAACTCGGTAGAGGGATATGAAGGGATACAGGATAGTGCCTTTTAGCTACTTCTTTTATCTTAAAATTCAGGTGTTCCAATATTACAAATGACCTTTTGTGTAAATACATGGTATACTATCAAAATGTTGCACAGGTGGTTAGCTGTATTTCACTGTCCTAAAAATTATAATCTTTACTGAAAGACAGTTTAATATTCACTTTGCTGCAAGCATGTGTAAATAAGTCAACCAAAACCAAATTCGTATTAGCTTGTTTGTGCTATATATTAGGTACCAACTCCCAGTGTAGACCAGGCCGAAGTCTATACAAGACAACCCTATTGAGGATTGAATAAATCAGTCTAACTTTTTCGATCTTTATTATTCCATTGAGACACATTCTTATGTTTTTTCTTCACATATTTGCATACATTAACAGAATAACAAATTATCTGAGCTATACATGTACCTCAAGGTGATGGTCTGTTAGTACAAAGAGAGTTGCTATGGTGATTTTCTGGAATTTCTTGGAAAATGCCTGGGACAAAAAGCTTTTAAATGGTTTTGGGAGGAGGGAGAGCTGAACTTCACAGTTACAATGAAAACCATAGCAGGTTCCAAACTGTTGTTAGAACAGCAGTGCATGTAATTGACCCAGGCAGCTGAATGCCTTGCACAGAGAGATTTTGCCAGTTCAGAAAATTCATTGGGGAGGTGTAAAGGGAAACAGGATAGTGAAATTAGTTACTAATTCTAGAAACACTCTAGCTTTCTATGTGATGAGCACAGTCATGAATGCATATTTTTCAACAAAGTAAAAGAATGTTTCTGTGTGTTTTAGGCTTTTGGGAACGCATGAGGAGGCTGACTTGTGTGTGAGAAATATCAGAAATGGGAAAAACACATTAGCATATCTAGGCCCTCTTCCCATCATACATTGGGCTATATTGTTTGCTAAAATAGTGCTTTGTCTCATTTCATTTTAAATGATTGTAGGTATGAGCCTTTCTTCCCTTCCATTAGGAGACATTTTTTTAAAATTCAGTTGATATTTGATTTAACTTTTCCTCTCAATTTCAATCTGCTGTTATCTCAGTTGTATCATCTTGTACACATTAAACTTTTCTGTGGTATTTATAAATATTTGGATAACTATTTTCTCTGATTTCAATTTTGTATTCTAGGTGAACCATGCATGTTGTTTAGTTACATGTATGCAGGTATAAAGGAACAATTTTTAAATTTATAAGAAAAAAGTAATTTCAAAGAACAATAAGTGTGTCCTGGGGGAAACAAAGTGGATTATATATGGCTCTTTGTTCTGTGGATGTTAACGGCTAGTCGGCTAATGGTTTAACTGATAAGTGATTGTTTATTGATTTACGTCCTGGTTAACTGCAACAACCCCATCTCCCCCCGTGCATGCTCTTCATTTAAAACTTGGACTGGCAGGCTGGCTCAGTCCCAGCCCACCAGTCAGAGTTTTCAATGAGGAGCATGCAGGGGAGCCACCTGCCACCTTACACAGTGCAGGATGGCAGCAGCTCCTGTCCACAGCCAGTTTTAAACACACTTCCCTTGTGGACTGGCTTCTATCTGATACAGAGGCAGCAGCGTGGTGTGGCAGGGGGTTCCCCGGGAGTGGAGCTGAAAGCGTACTGGCTGCCAGCCATCCCCTCAGTGGGAGGGTGATCATCAAGTAAATGCTAAGAAATTTAGTGGTTACATGATTATTAAAATAACTGCTATCTAGCATCCCTACTTCGTTCATTACTGCTTTGGTCTTGTCAGGCTCATTCTTAGTGTTCTGGATAAATGTTTTCTTCTAAAATCATGGCAGAGTATCTAGCCAATGTCTACACTTGTTCAGGATTGCTTCTGCCTTCCTTGTCGTCCCCTCCCCCCCAAGCATTCAGTTACAAATAAAGGCAAATATGTAACACTTACGGAGGATACGTGCAAATTTAGACCATAGTTTTGGCTACTTTGTTTTTCTTCCCTTCTTTGATGGAATCTTTGTATTCATGTTTGGCATCTTTAGGATCCTTTCATTTCTTCCAACCATCCAAAACATTGCACATTGTAACCATCATTTTTCTGACTAAAAATAACTCTTCTGAGCCCATAAATAATGGTCCTTTAATTTCTAGATTGGTCAGTCTTCTGGCACACTCCTCTTCCTGTAGGTTTGAAGAAAGGACTGTGTCGTGTGGCAGTGCAGAGCGTATTACATGCACTGTTTGTTTTTCTTTGAAACTACAATACTAAAGTTGCTTCAAATGAGGCTACAATGCAGCAGTTCATGGAGCTAACAGCTAGTGGACTTTAGACTAGTTTTACACCCATATAACTTTTAATTAGTTCAGTGAAGATATTCTTGATTTACCCCAGTGTGTGCATGAAATCAGAATCAGGCCTCTCTTGTTTGGCACCTGGTTAAGATATTAGTTCATACTTCTAGACAAGCTTTTTGTTCTTACCACAGCACAAATGAAACAAAGGTATTGTAGCAGAGCAAGGTGAAGGGTCCAGAAGGAGTAGGAGATATCTGGAGCTTTCTGCCCTTGGAGTGCTATGGAGGAAATGAATTTGTGAGGTCAGAATGTTAATTGGCTGTATCTGGTATAAGGACCAGCAGTGAAATGGTTAAATGTTGACATTTTATGTTACTGTCTGATTCATAGCTAATTAATTGAGGCAGAGAAAAATGTATGCTTGTCTGCTGCCGCTTGCTGCAAGCTCAGGAAGACTCATGGCATTTGGTTAAGCTTAATTCTCCTTGTCTGAGGTGATTTAACAGCTATCATGCTGTATATTTTTTAAAAAATGAAAACTTATATGTCAGAGGTATATTTTTGAGGAATAATGATTTCGCAGGATTCTGAGGGTAGATTGGACTTATTTGAAAAATCAATTTTTAATGAGACAGGAAAAATACAGTGAATAATTCATCTTAATTGTGACCTTAAGAAATCCCTGCTATTCCAGTCCTGGACTCCTCCTGCAACTCTGCCAGGTTGACAGTAGGGATCTTAACTATCGTTTAGTTGTATAAACATGTAACTGTTGGAAATTCTAGAGGTTACACGTTTACACATGGGGGGGGCAGGCTTTTAAGCCAGCTCCCCACAAACACTGGCTCCTGCCTGTTCCCTCCCTGCTAAAGAAGCAACAGTGTATGGAGTAGGCAGCTCTGCGGGAGCTGATATGCATGGGAAGCTGGTTTGAAAGCTGCTTCCCACATGTACCAGCTCCCGCCTGCTCCCCTTATTTCTATGCTGCCGCTGCCTGTCTATCAGAGACAGCAGTGTGGGGGAAGGATGGTGGCAGGCGGCTCTGCAGGAGTCGGTGCTCGTGAGGAGCTGGCTTTTAAGCTAGCTCCCCGCAGCACCAGCTCTTGCCTGCCCCTACCCTCTCCTCTCCCCCATGCTTCTGCCTCTGTGGGAGGTGGGGGGAGGCGGTTCTGCAGAAGCTGGCATGCTCAGAGAGCTGGCTCCGAGGAGGTGCCTGCCTTCCACCCTTGTTGCCTCCCACAGCAGCAGCAGTGCAGGGAGGAAGGGCAGGCAGGTGCCAACATGCACGGGGAGCCAGCTTAAAAGCTGGCTTTTCGTGGGCACCAGCTCCAACTGCCCCTTACTGCCTCTGCAGCAAGGGAGGGGGTTGTGTCTAGTCGATATGATTAACTGATAAGCCCAGGCTCATCGTGTAATTGTCCACATGCTTACATCCCTAGTTGACACCTGTGACGTACTCTTATTCTAATCTAATCTTGTCTTCAGCAAGTATCTGGAGCATAGTGGCCAGTGTATTTATCTCTTTTTTCACTCAGTGACTTACAATATGCCAGGTGACCTGCTAAAAAGAGAATTCAACCACACTCTATTGGACATTCCACAATAGAATGTAAAATGTTTCACATGAAAAGTCAAACTCATAAAATTTCCCTCGTGTGTAGTATGGTCTTGTGCTAACTGCCAACCTTAATGGTTTAAGTCTTGCCCCACATGTGATAGGCTCATTCACTCGGTTAATGCCCTTTATGCCTGGAGAAAAACACATCTCCATTACGATGCTCTTATAAAAAAAACTCATGAGTCAGTTGATGTGCACGAAGCTACATCTTCACCTACTTGAGCAATTGATGTGTGCCTCCTCAGATCCAAAAGAAACATCCACCACCAAAGAATCCAGAGTCAACAAATGCTCTTTTGAGCAGCCACTATCGTGTGTGTGTGTGTGTGGGGGGGGAGGGGGGCAGAAAAAGGAAGGCATGGAAGAATGCTCCATTTAAATGGACAATGGTCAGATTAATGCCTGCCATCCTAGCACTGAGGCTGTTGGCATTCGCAGCATTCCTCTCCAGTCTTGGTTCCTTAATGATATTTAGCTAAAGATTTAGACATCCTAAAGCTCAATGCTACTAGACTGGCTTTCCCTGTTTGTTCTCTGAAATTCAGTAGTGCAAATCTTCACAGACAAAAGCAGTACAAAAAGAAACATAATCCATCAGATTCTGGAGTTGGTGCCATCAGAGTGGGGTGACTGCGAGGCATTTCATGTCACAGGACTTACTGAGCAGACAATCTTTAATTGGTCCCTGCATGATTCTGTAGTAGAGCTGATATTCAGTCTTTGGGGATGTCCCTGAAAGACCATGAACAACACATGTCAGAACTTCTGCTCCAGATGTAGACTGAGAACAGGATAATTACCAGATGCTTTTCTCCTGCAGCGGAAGGGAGGCCTTCTTTTCACCCTTCCCCATTTCCCTGTTTCCCAGGGTGATCTCCAAGATCAAGAAGCATGGTTGTGGTCATTGTCATTGGCCTGTATTGGCTGAGGCACTTCTGACTGGCAGATCTCCTCTTACAATCCATTCAGTCTTTGATCCAGTTCTCTTCAGCACTTTTCTAGTCAAGTGGAAAAGGTTCTTTATTTGTTCTGTGCAAGGGCACCCCTCCGCTGCAGTCCTCAGTTCCCTTTATACTGGACCACTTAGTCTACTTAGATGAGACTGCCAGCCCTTGTTATTTTATCAGTGTCCAACTGGTAGCTATTTCTGCTTTCCATCCAGGTGCAGTGGGGTGGTTGGTATTTGGTAAGCCCATGCTTGGATGCTTCCTTAAAGGGCTAGAAAGACTGTACCCCCAGTTGTGGCAGATAGTCCCCCCCATGAGACCTTACCCTGGTCCTTTTGAGACTCATTGGGCCACCTTTCGAACCTTTAGTAACTTTTTTGATTTACCTTTTGGTCTCTCTTTGACAGCCAAAAGTCTGTTGTAATGATAACCCTGTGTATGAGAGACCAATTTTTCATATATAATAGTATTTTGACTTCAGTTTTAAACTTTATACACACTCACATGCACATTTCACATATATAGGAAAAATGTGACTTGCTGTATTTGATCAGTTGGCTGATTCAGTGCAGCAGAGCAGCTCCCCCAAAAGTGCAGCTTGCAAAACTGCTCCTGCACTCCTCCCAACGGCCTCTGTCCCCTGCCAGCTCACCCCATGTCTCTGGCTTCCCTGTGCTTACCGGGTCAGAGCTGCGGGGTTTTAAAAAAATGGTGCCCAAGATGGCGGCCATCTTAAAGGGGCAGCCCGCCTTTTTTAAAAAATGCAGAACACAGAAGTTCTTATCAACTAATTGAATAGTCGATGGAAATCCCATTGACTATTTGATTAATGAAAATTTAACATCCCTATTCAAAACTTGCTGGTTTTATTTTTGTTTTCTTGTAAGAATTTGAATTGGTTGGAGGACCCCTGTCTGCTCTTAGCCGAGTTCCTGCTAGGCCTTAGTATCTTGTGGAGCTTCTCTAGGTGATGTAAGTCTGTGCTTTTCTCCTTTTTGACATGGTCAGAAAATGATCTTTTTGTTAACATTGTATCAGGATCAGGAGCACAGCCAATATCTGTCATGTTGCGCTGATGTTTCCGGTAGTTTTCCAGTGTTAGTGCCATATATATGGAGAAAAAGCCAGTGTAAAAATCAAGGTTTTTAAATGAACCTAACATATGAGATGTAATAACTGTTTTCAGGACAGATGGAAGTCTGATTTAACAGGAAGACTGAATCCCTTTACACTCAGGCTGTATCTGCACTATGCAGCTTTTAGCAATACTGTACTGGTGAAGCCATGCCACTAAAAGGCACATGCAGCATAGCCACTGTTTGTTGGCAGAAGAGAGATCTCTCGCTGACAAAGCGCTCTTCATACTGATGCTTTTTGTCCACAAAAACTTTTGTCTTGTGGGATTTGTATGTTTTTTAACACCTTTGAACAACAAAGGTTTTGCTGACAAAAATCCAGTGTATAACAAACCCCGTGAGGTATTTCTATGTCTGCCTCAAAATAATAGAGGAAAGGAAGTGCCTTTGCTTCATTATACAGATGAGTTAATACTAAGAGCCTATCATTCTTTCAGTTTTATGGAAGCCTCCTGTTCATTTAAAATTAGAATTAATTTAATTTTGTACTGAAGAACAGCTCTTTGGATTATACAACTATTTTTGCTTTAATTTTAAGAAAATATATTTATGCCATT